GGAGTTTATAGTCACTTGGCAATTGGTCAATACTCAACGAGGCAGTACATAAATATTACATACATGATATGAAGTCAGAGATCTGATTTTATACTCATTAGTTTTTCTAGTTGCACATTACTTGTCAGCTACAAGTAACAGAAGACCCATCAAGGTCTTCTCCCTGCAGTCTCTTATGATTCAGCCAGCTCTTAACTAGTAACTTATGTAACAGTTCTTTGCAAGCATTACTAGCATAATATTTAGGTGTTTAAAATTTATCACCACTATACAGATGACAAAAACATAAAGAAGCCTGCATAGCTATGCTAACTTAAACAAACAAACAAAAGAAAGTAACGGGACTGCTAAGCCCCATGCCATAGGGTATAACTGAGCTACCACTTGGCTGGGAACAACGCCCCTCAGGCCACAGTACAAATGGAAGGAGTAAAGGCAGCTCTGCTGTGGACACAGTCAGTGACATAAAGACAGAATGGAACATTTTGGTCTGTGCCTGCACAGCAATTCTATACCCCAAAATTACTTGCTGACCCAAAACACCAGGAGTGCTCACTATCTGCAATTCTTTTTACTATCTCTATGGAGATCTCTTCCAAGAGCAGAAAACAGGAATAGCAGGTGCAAGTAGGACAACAGACTGTTTTACAAATAGTCAGTCCCACTATTAGCAGAATAGGCCGTGAAGAGAAAAAGTTTCAAAAGGGCACTAAGATGCTAACAGGTACACCTGTACTTACTTATCTTTAAGTTACAGCTCAGGGCTGCAATCTTTTCCTGACAGATGTAGCCCTATTATTCTCCATTGCACAAGAGACCACATCCAATTCAGGCAAAAAGATTTATGGTCACCCCTCATACCACAGGCTGAACAAATACAGACATGCAGAAAGCAAAAATAAGCAACAAATAAAACCACATGTTCTTTCAACATACATTTCAATACAAAAAAAGATAAATGTTCACAGGGAAAAAAAAAAGGTTATATTTTAATGTATACTCACGTATCAGGGTAGGTATGTGGACACTTGACCCACAGATCAACTTTGGCATATACTTCATTACCACCAGTCAATCCCTGAGGATGCAGAACTAAATTAATTTCAGGAGGTTGTCGTACCTAAAATGGAAAACAAAGCTTTGATTTAAAAGTTTTGTTGTTGTTGTTTTAATGGAAGCAGGAATTATTGCACACAACTCTCACAACCTGTATCATGGCAGAATTCAGGTTAGACCATCCAAACCATGGAAGTAATACATTAAAGTGTTGATGCTGCTCAATGAAGGTGAGGTGGTTCTTTACCACAGCTTATCTGATAAATTTGCAGTTACAGTTAATAGAAAGATGAGTCAGACTAAGCAAAGAGGAGGCTTAGTAATAAAATCTTCCTATTTTGCTTACTGTAGGCTAGTAGTAGAAAAAAGTTAACAATCTGTGACGGGTTATTTGTGGAATATTGCAAATTAATACATTCAACATACGAATGAAATTGTTTCTTTTCTGTTTGTTTTAGCTCACTAACAAACACCAATCATTATTTTCTGACATGATAATAGACTGTAACATCACATCTTGCGTGGCCAAATAAATAGTAGATTTGTTGTATTTATATTTATATTTTTGGCATAAAGCGTAATTTTAATTAGCATTGCCCTTCCTGCCATTCTCTTGAAGTTTTTTTTTTTTTTTTTTTAAGTAGAACATTCCCATATAAACATTCTAAACTTTTTCTTTTCAATTAGATTTTTTTTTTTTAAAGGGAACAGACCTTAGTAATGCTAGGGACAGGTATGGAACTAAGATGACGTAGAAAAACACATACGGGAATGAGTTAAAAGATGGTCAATATCCCCTCTACTTTGCCTTTGCATTTCCAAGTGGGAAAAGTACAGGTAAAGTCAAAATGATGTCAGGTATGAATTTAATAGGGAGGGAGATCAGCGGCACTGCTATGAACTCTAAAAACTTAGGAAGTTACTGACATTGCTAGCATTAAATTCCAGTCCCTCTCCTCCCCCCCAAAAAAGTCACCGGTTTCTGCAAGAATTTTAGGTTAGGGTGTATGGCAGAAAAAACATTAGCAGCCATGATACTTTGTAGAAACTAAAGCCAAAAGAGGACAGACAGACAATAGTAACAGCGAAGTTTTGGGGGACTGATGTAAGTGACCAGTACCTCCAGGTACAGGAGAACAGTGCCACCAGATGCAGCTGGAAAAAAATTCTCAAGAAGATATTGCAGACATGAAAGAGAAATGGAAAAGAGTAATGAGTAGCCGACCTGGGCAATCAATTGTAATTAAAAAAAATACTGTAAAAAAAAAATAAAGTGTAAGTATTCAGTTCTGATGGAAAACAGCCACAGTGAGAGTAAGCCACAGTATAGAGTGAATGTGCAGAGATCAGCAACACGTATGCCGACGAGATGAATGAGTTAAGCAGGTATGTAATTAGTCAGCTAAAGAATAAATTCGGAAGCATTCAAAAATAAAAAGCCAGTTAATTAAAACCCGCTCTGTTCCTCTCCAGAACGGAGACCTGTTTCGCTGGGCTTCCCGTTCAGCCGGGAGACAGGAGGACGAGGGCCCGCGGGGACAAAGCAAACAGCAAATGAAATAAAGCCCAGCGAGGCGGGCGGATACAGCACGGCCACCGAGCGCCGCCGCCTCCCCGCACCGGGCCGCGGGGCCCCGCTCGCTACCTTCCAGGCCCGGCCCTGCCGCAGATCCTGGAAGTCCTGCCCGTAGATGGACTCCAGCGCCTGCAGCTCGTTCTCCTGCCGCAGCTGGTAGCTCTCCGGCGGCTCCGCGGCCGCCTCCGCCGGCAGCTGCTGCGCGCCGCTCGGCCGGGCCATGTCAGCTCCCCGGGCGGCGGCGGGCGGCCGCCATGGCGGGCGGCCCCGCGGCGCTGCCACCCTGAGAGCGGCGCCGGCCCCGCGGCGGCAGCGGGAGGAGGAGGAGGAGCCCCGGCCGCACGGCCCCGCTCCCGCCCGCACGGCGTGTCCGGGGTGGCGGGGTGAGGGCTGGGCTGGGGCTGGAGCTTCTCCCGTGGCTTCCAGCCGGAGGCGGGGTGTGAGCACCGCAGGGTTTCCTGGCTGAACGCCCGGCGAGGCCACGGCCTGTCCGCGGGTGGCTGTGGTGGGACGTGGCACAGAGGCAGCGGGGAGCTGTCAGGGGAGCGGCGGTGGGGAGAAAGGAAACGTGCTTTTCTTCAGCCTTTTCCTGCTGCTGAACAGACGGATGATGAGAAGATGAGGTCACCTTTCAAGTTTTGTGATCCTGACGAAAATACCCCAAGTAAATTTAAACATAGAAGTTCATGCATTAGGTGTGCGTTCCCTGGCAAACGAAAACGTTCTAGTAGTCCATAGCTTGCTACCCTGAGGCCATATATCATACCTCTCACCTTACTGACCTTTGTGTATAGGCTTCTTGTTCTAAGTAGCTCCCTCCTTAGGTAGCCTACTCTACTGAGTAGTTTCTATAGCTCTGTTAGTCCTTCTGAATGCGAGAACTTGCTACGTGCATACTTTTGTTTATCTTTCCACTTCATTTAATCTAAGATCACATGGTCCCAGCTGGTTTTATAACTTACTTACTAATTGCTAGTTTTATGTCTCCATCATGTTATTAGTAAAAAGAAACAACCAACTTTTTGTAAGTGAAATTAAAGCCTAATTTTAACTGCATCACTGTTCTGATACTGTTCCCAGAGAATGCCCGGAAAGTGCCTTCAGTGGTAGAATTTTTGCCTGATTGATATATATATATATATATATATATTTTTTTTTTTTTGTGGGAACTGTGTGACCAGAGATGTTTATGTCTAACAGAGGTGTCCTTTTATGGCCAAATGTGACCTGGGGCACTGGTATTGCTCTTGCACCTGTGTAGAAGTAACTGCTCTATTGGAAGCACTGGTGCAGCAGGGTGTGCTCGTCTGTCACTTTGTATGCATTAAAGACTAGAAATTAAAGTTTCCAGGCCGTGGATTCATCTTCTCTTCCACACAAAGATGTAGCAAGTTTGGCCAATGTGAAGATGCAATGCATCGAGTAATTAAGAAACTTCAGTATAATTGTCTTGAACAGAAAGGAGGGCTCTAGACTTGCAAAGTGCTCTGTGTGGTTGGGTCTGGTAACATTGTGTACTGTTGCAATGGCCCAACTGTGTTAGTTGTTCCTGGCTTGGCAAAATTTTAACCAGTTGGGATAAAATGTTCTAGACCAGATGTCTGCCTCAGGCTATTCTATTTTTTTCTCATAATTTCTTCTACAGAGATTCATTGTTTCCAAGAAGAAAGCAGGAGAAAAATGTAATAAGAACGTGGTGAGAAATTATTTTTAAAAGTCTGGTACCCCAGCAGGAGTGTGAAATTCGATGGGTAAGAGAGGAAAAGACAATTTTTTCAGTGCTGCACTCAATGCTAGCTAGCCTTGTGAAAACCTGCATTAAAGTCAATCAAGTTATAGTTTGAAGGGAGAAAAAAATATTCACATGGTCCATAAACATTTACTGGAGTACGGTGAGCATCCCTGGAGCCCACCTGCCCTGAACACTTTTTGACATCTTCCCAAATTTGTCTGCTGTGGGACATGCACATTGAGGTCCCTGGGCACACGGTAAGAGAGGCACATGGCCCAGGTGTCTGCCCAGGTGAAATCCAGCAAGGGCACACAGGACAAAACACAGGCTTGATTTTTAACAAGCTGCCCTCTGAAAGTCTTTAAGTTAAAGTGCTTTAAGCTGGGCACCTGCCACATGGAGGCACACTTGGCGCATTTAAACACACAAATTTCCATGCCTATACAGGATCAGATATATATCTGTACTGAACACAGATTCAGTATTATACATATTTCAACAAGCTCGCAAGATTTCAGTGGGTAACGTACGTGGAAATTCAAGTTTCGGGACCTGCTTTGAAACACCCTCCTGGGAAGCCGCGGCGCCCACAGGGGGCTCCCGTCACGGGGCGGCGCCGGGAGCAGCGCGTCCCGCCCGCGACACACCCCGACAAAATGGCGGCCCTCGCTGCCGCGCTGGCCACGTGATGGCGGAGGCGGGAGCTCGGCTCCCCGGTGTGCCCGGTGGCTGGCAGCGGGGCTGTGCGGCTCTGCGCGCCGCCCGGGCTGGGCTGGGCTTTCCCGCAGGGACGTAGGGGGCCCGTCGGCTTCCCGGGACTCGCCGACAAGCTGCTTTCGCTGAGGGGCAGCTGGGGTGCGGCGGGAGCCCGCTGTCGGGAGAGCGGGCAGCATGAGCGGCGGCAGCGCTAGCGGGCTGCCCGCGGGAGGCCGGGCGCTCTGCCTCGCTCTGCGCGGAGCTACCGGGGGGGCAGCGGGGCAGCGGGGCGGGCGCTCCGCCGGCTCGCCCGAGAGGCGCTGAGGGAGTGAGAAGCATGGGACGGCTGGCGGCAGGGGACAGCCCGCGGTATCTCCTCCTCTCCTCTCCCGGCGGCATGACGAGCCGAGCCCGCTTCCCGGGACGCAGCAACGCGGCGAGCGGACCAGCCGGGGCTCCCTCCGCCGCCGCGCCGCCTCGCCCGAGCGCCCCGCTGGCTCACTGAGGGGCAGCGCCAAGGCCGGGGGCTGGCGGGCGGCATGGCGTGGAGCGGCAACGGCAGCGCGGCGAGCAGCGGCGGGCGCGGCGAGGAGCGGGGCTACCGGCACTTCGCCACCGCCGCGCAGGTCGTCATCTTCGTGGGCGCTCTGCTGGGTGAGTGCGAGCCGCGGGTAAGGCGGGTCGGGGCTGCCCGGGAGGGCGGCGAGCTGGGTTTCGGTAAGGCGCTGCGGCTGGGTCACTGGAAGCTGCTGCTGGAAAGGGCGAGGCTTCTCACACGAGGCTTGGTGGTGAATGTCTCCAGCTGGTGCAGGTGATTTCAGTAGGGCTTTGCTGGTGGTCATGGGCGCTTATTACCAAGGATTTGTTTTTGTCTGTTTTTTTGAGTAATGCTAGAATCAATTTAGGCGTCAGTTCCAATTCATTCTAATATCGATTTCTTCTTGGCAGTGTTTCATAGCATGCTGCTTCTTTCTAAAATAGATGGTGAGCGTTGTCTTGGAACAGCACTGAGCTCTGGGCTTGGTCACTGATGGACTTACCTGCTATTACTGTCAATCATCAAGTCACTTTGCCTGGTTTATTCCTCTATCCAGCAGGGATAAGGGTCGTTCTTCTGTGCTTTTTTTTTTTTTTTGATCATAGATAACATGTGAAAACAGCCCTCCGTGGTGGGTCGCATGGTATAAAACAATAGCCAGCAAATAGTAAGTGTGATTAATGAACCTGTTCCCAATACATATGGTCTACGGTGTCCTAAAAGCTACAAGATTAGGTGAAAAAAGTCAGAACTTGAGTTCTTGTTCTCTGTCTTGTGGGTTTACAGCCTTAAGATCTGATCCAAAGCCCTTTGGATCATGTGTCCAGGGTTACTTTCATGACGATAGCTCTCTATGGACACACTCATGTAGTTAGTGTGAGAAACACTCCGTAGCCAATAACTTAGGCTCAGGCGAGGATCTCAGTGAAGTAGTAATTTATTCGCGATTGCAATGGCGGGCGCCCCACAAGCAGGAGAGAGCGCATCTACTAGTTCCAAAACACAGTTTATATACCTTTTGATGGCAGGACCCTCCCCTGTTTCCCCACTGAGTGGGTAATCCAGGTTCACAATCTATCTGATGCTTCACAAACAATGCATAGTCTTCAGTTACCGGCCTGTTAAATTTCAAATTTCTTTTGACATTTTTACTGCTTGAAGTGGTAATGTTTCTTCACTTATCTGACTTGACTTGACACCGTGATTTTCACCTAATTGTCCTAAGGAGACTGGTTGTCTGCATTTTACTAGGTCGCCTGCTAAACTTTCTTATCACTGTAAGCATATCTCAGTACCACATTCCCTCCTTCTAAACAATGTAACTCTGCAAAAACAACATTTCGATTCCCACATTAGGCATTCAGTAGCTTGGAGTTTCTATAACAAAATGAAGAAGACAAAACAAACCCAATCCAAACAAAGCCTTAAATTTAACAAGGCTTACAGTAAGTCATGGTTTGGCGCTCCTGCAGTTTGCTTTCAAGAGATGGGCTCTCTTGATTTGGACCTGCCATAAGGGGCTTAGCGCTGATCATTTAGTGGGGAGGCTGATGAAGCAAAACTAGAGAGGAAATCATGGTAAAAATTGTTGTTTTTTTTTTTTTTTTTTTTGAACTATGAAAACAACAGCAGTAGTCCAACAACAAATGTTGGGCCTCATGAATTTGCAGTGATGGAAACCAATTTTAACTTTTTTTTTTTTTTTGGAATTGCCTTCTTTTTCTGTCTCTGCTGTGCTGTTTTAGTAACACCATGTTATCGTAACAGCTGAAAATCTTAGTCTTTAAAAATGTCTTCCCATAGCATCTATGTGAATGTACTGTTACTCCTTATTTACTGAGTGGAAAGAAAGCTGCAACAAAGTTGCATCCCTAGTCTCCAGCACTGAATTTCAGTGAGTGCGTACTCAGCTGTCATATTTGCCACAAGTTTTGCCAGACTGTGATTTCTCAGTTGTGAGAGAGACGTATGCTGCATTTTTCCCTCCTGTTTGAGACCTGTGGGGAGACTTGTAGCAAAAGGAGAAATTTCTGACTTAGCTTTCCTTGTGTTTTGAAAAGACAGTGCTACAGTGAGTGTTTCATGATATTTGTTAAGGACGAAGAGTCAAACTGTTCTTTTTCCAATATATTGAAAACACATCCTTGAATGTTTGTTTATTTTATGTAGTAATGACAATAATACTGGTTTCTAGAATTCTGTGTATCTTTGAAGGGAATTACATAATTGTCACAAACTTGCTGTAGTTTGAAATTCTATATGAGCTGTAGATGTAAGAGGATCTAACCAGTAGAACCAACCAAAATTACCAAAAGAAGCTAATAGTCTGCTATAGCAGACTTTTTTCCTACTTTTTCTCCTAATTTATAGTAAGCTTTTATTACTAAAAACTTAGGATTTCTTAAAGAAACAGATTATTCCATGTTTGGAATGGACAAAATATAATTATTGTTGTAAAAATCACTAGTTTAGAGCAGTTACAGATGAGTTGTTCAGGTAAGTTGGTCATGGATTACTGATTTAATTAAGATCTAAGTACAGTGTTATAGCTTACAGTTCTTAACAGCTGTTCATGAGACTTTGAGTTTGTTTGCACAAGCTTGGTGATGTTCCTCTTCTGCTTGCATGGAAGTTCTTGATGAGCAAACTACTACTGACTTTAGTATTTGAGACCTGAGAAAGAAATCTGTGTCTCTGTACTTTGAACCCAGCTGGTACTACCTGTGATGCGCTCATTTGGCTGCAACCTGCTGTGAGGTTTCAGTGCAAGATGAGAGGATTGGTGGATGGAGGAATTCAATCAATTTATAGTTCCTGATTGGTGTCTCAGTTCACTTCTGTGCAGGAAAGATTTGCCATATTTTCAAGACTTACAAGCCATTTCTATCTGTGGTGCTTGTCTGGACACGTGAACTGGTGAATTCTTTTGGGGAACTTTTGCGCGTGTTGGTGAACTTAGCAAATGTACAAGGTGAGGTATAAAGTATGTAAGGGACTAGAAGTCCTTGTAAATGTTATGTAATGTACCTGTGCAGCTGGTAATGATGGTGCTCATAGTAATGGCATTTCTTAGCCTTTGAGCTATCAATTCTGAGCAGGGCTGGAATAAAACAGTTAAAACGCTTGCCACTTGCATTTCTCATTGAACTGTACTTGGATCAGGAAGTGCAGGGCATCTTGTGGTGGTTTAACCTTGCTAGGCATCTGAACTCCACCACAACTGCTCTCTCACTGACCTAGTACACTTGTAGAATAGTATACAGGTGTGGATACATGCTGAGCATCCACAGTAGAACTAGGAAAAAAACATGCTCTCATTACTACTTTACTTTTCTAATCTGTGTATACTTCTTCCTCCCTGAACCGAAGAGATGGTGTACCTTAGGAATTCGTGAATGACAAATATATACATAGAGATATGTTTCTGGTGTGGTGTTAGGATAACTGCAGGTATGGTGGGATTAAAGCTGTTCATTCTAGGAACACTTGTAGGAGAATATAGAAATTTAGGAGTATGTAGTAAATAATTATGCTGCTTCTGTTCAACTCTCTAATATGACTGACTATTTTGGATAGCTAAGTTCCTTTAATTGGCTTAGTAAAGGGAAGTCTAATGGGATGTATTTCTATGTCTATGTGTAATGCAACATTCCAGTGGCAGAGAGGGAAAACTTCAGTGTTCTTATGTCCATGGGATGTTGGCTCCTCTTGCTGGAGAGTAGTTGGTCTTCAGCTCTCATCTGTCTTGTTGGGATTGCAATGACTGTGTCCCGGAGCAAGGCAGGGCACTGATGGTTACGGATAGGAAAACACATTCTCACTGTGCTGGCTGGTCTGTACCTTGGCCTTGTATGGATGAGGCTTGCTCTCTCATGTCACACTGAGAAACTGGTTAAGTTTGTGAGCTTTCATGGGGAGAACATTTCTTGTTGCCTACTGCCGCAGAGAAGATGAGGATTTGTCTGGATGAGGTGAACACCTCAGGCTGCTTGCTTCTGCCATCGAGGCTGCATCTGGCTGTGCATGTAGGCCCAGTGGTGGAGAGCGCTGCAGGGGTATCAACAGATAAAGGATGGATAAGAGGGCTCAAAGGTGACAAAGTCTCCAACATTTGAGAAGCATGCTGGGCAGCAGTTCAGTTTAATTGCCCTAGGGAAGAGTTTCTTGGTTGGTGTTTATTTTCTCCCTTCTGAGACCTGTGTAATCTGGCTTCATTCTAGATTTTCTCCTTCGTTCTCTTGCCTTTGTTATAAATGAAGTCTCAACTCAATCTGAATTATAAAAGGAATATTTAAAAAAGGCAAGTAAACAGCGCTGGGTGTGCAGGGAGTCTACGCTCCACCAACACGCACACGAGCATCAAAGATTCTAAGTATATAGAACATTGCTTTTACATACTAAACCCGAGAATGCCTATACATACATACAATCAGAAAAGGTAACAAACAATCCTTTAAGTTCTATGACTTAACAGTCTCCATTTCCCATTCCTTTTGAGCAATATGTCTTGCTTTAAGCTGTCAAACAACTCGGCCTTCGGGCCTTATGTATCCCGTTCTTCCTGGATCGAAGAGAAGCATACCCATCTCCTTTTCAAGGTCAAAAGGCACGTCTGGGTCACCAGAGGGCATAACAGCGAAGGCCTGTGATGGCTGTAGCAGCAGAGGGGCCGATGGTGTAGCAGTCGGATCAGTAAAGGAGCCCGCAGCTCCCTCACTGTCTGGCAAACCACACGTTTCTGACTGTGGTCCCACAGGGCTCTTTAAGGCCTCAGAGATTGCTTGCCAGGTGCTGAGCAATCCCACTGCAACCTTGTCATTTTTAGTTGCAGAGTCCCACACCTTAACCTCAGTTTTGCCCCCTATTTCAAGATCATTAACTGTCCAATTGTTAATAAGGAGAATAAGCTGTAAGGTTACCAGGACAGTCCTTGTTCCTAAGGACGTATGATTCCCCATAATGCACCAACTGCTTACCAGCGAGAGGCAGTTGTGTGCGTGGGTCCGCTTCTCTCAGCTTGAGCTTCTTCCCAGCTCTGGTGCGCCTATTTCCAGTGATTTTCTGTACGAGGTTCTCTGAGCGGTTTGCTGAGTTTGGCCGAGCCTATCTTCATGAG